TGGGATGCTTGCTCCATCATATTTCCTTGTATGATGCCACAACTGCCCCGGTCAGGACTCCTTGGATTCAATCGGGATGCTTGCTCCATGACATATCCTTGTATGATGCCACAACTGCCCCGGTCAGGACTCCTCGGATTCAATTGGGATGCTTGCTCCATGACATTGCCTTGTATGATGCCACAACTGCCCCGGGCAGAATTACTCGGATTCAATTGGGATGCTTGCTCCATCATACTTCCTTGTCTGATGCCACAACTGCCCCGGTCAGGACTATTCAGATTCAACCGGGATGCTTTCTCCATGACATTTCCTTGTATGATGCCACAACTGCCCCGGTCAGGACTCCTTGGATTCAATCGGGATGCTTGCTCCATGACATATCCATGTATGGTGCTACAACTGCCCCGGGCAGGATTACTTAGATTCAGTAGTGGCGGTTGAGCTCGTCCAGCTGGTGCAATATCAAGTCCAGGCATACCCGGCATCTTACTCATTCCAGGGCTAGGTCCACGAGGAATCCTTAGACTTGCAGTAGAACCGGCACGCAACCCCATGTTCTTCTCTGCCTCTGAGTGGATCTCAGTGATGGTTTTGGCTTTAACCTCTTCGCGCCGTGGGACCCAGTTATTTGCACGCAATTCGAGAACATCACGGATCATGAATCTCAGCCATGCAGCCATGTTTGGGTTTGTTGACAGTTCTTTCATTCGGTTGAAGTATGTGTTGTTGATGCATTTTGACCTTTTGTTCTCATCAATCTGTTTCCCAATGGTCTTGAAGAACTGACAGATGGATTCAACATTCTCCTCTTCTGGGCAGCTTTCCATATCTGACCCTAAAAGTTCCTGTTTGATGTTTTGCAAATTGGAGTTAATTATAAACTCAAGGTCCATTAGATATCTCAACAAATCCTTGTGGAGGTGGGTGTTTTTTAACCTAAAAATATGGTTACTTATTGATCAATTGCCAAATAACCCTCGACACTTATAAACTCAAAGATGTTTTCTGCAACCAACTGTTTTACACTGGCAGATTATAGATATTGCAAAACAGGAAGAATTAATTTAGTACCTTAACAATGTGATGAACAATCCTCTCTGTAACCATATTTTGCTTCAAAAGCTCCCCAATAAGACGGATGTTACCAAGAGTGCGCAGTTTGGCCAACCTTTCTTTATCTTTACTTCCTGACTCCTGCTCGGGAGAGGTCAACTGTTTGACCTCTTCCGGCAGATTGTCAGACCCTTCAAAGGCCTCCTGACAGTTATTTAAGAGAACTCGCTTGAACGTTATTTCCTTCCCGCCAGGTTCATCAGAAGGGAATGGCGGTAGCTTCTCGTTGAGGTCAGCACACAATTGGGCATACATTGGGCAAAATGTTGGCTCCAAAACAGCCTTGTCAAATATCAACCCAATCACACCCTGTGGTGGAAAAGGCATGCATCCAAACAAGGAATTAGTGATAGTGATTATAACAATGAATATAATGAAATAACAAGAAAAAAGGAACACAATAAGGGTAAGGCTCTGTTTGGCCTTACTGTAAAGAGCTGGTTTATAGTACAAGTAGTGTTTTGGATAAAACTGTAAAAGTGATGTTGAACAAAAAGCAGTTGAGCTGTTTTTAGGGCACTAAAGGTGAAGTTAGATTTTTAATACTCCGTAACAAGTAGATATATTTTTTAGGACATATTTTTAACAGGATTTTAAACAGTTCGTAAGACGGGCTGAACATACGACTTTCAGCATCCCTTAATACACGTTTATGCCTCAAAGAGTATGCCAAACAGAGCCTAAGGCATTAGACTAAAAGAGGCATATGAGTACCTTCAAAATATCAGCACTAGATATGCCGGCCTCTATAAGTTGGCCTTTAAGGAGATCAAACTTCTCTGGAGTCAGCTTGTTAAGTATGCTGCAGTTATTGAACAGACAAGTGGGTGTAAGAAAACAAATACAGAGTAAATTCATAAAAACTGATATAAGGATATAACTTTTAAAGTTTTAATCACAGATCAGCACATGGATTTTCAGTCACATGATTAGTCGAATAGCGAGAAACTAAGGTCTCCAATAAAGATAAACTTGCACATATATAAAATAAAGAGATATTTCTGCAAAGTATTTTATAAACTATCTATTGAGTGTGAACAATTGAACAATTTATACATCGATACCAAACGTTTCATAAAACAAGAACTAAAACTTCCATGTCCCCATTGTCCCAACTCCCAATAACTATTTAAAATTCGAACTTTTTAAATATTTCCAAGAAAATAGTTCTCCGTAATAATAAAAGGAAGATGATTATTACCCCTTAACAGTTTTCAAAACACGCTCCTTTTCAGACAGTTGGCCTCTTCTTGCAGACCATGGTACCTTCGCTTTTATTAGAGCAGCAGTTGGTCCTCCTCCCTGGTAAAGAACAATCCTCAAATTGAGTTTCTCAAGGAACAGATTGTTATATAAATGATTTAGTTTTTTAAAATTGAAGTTTTTATCAGTACCACTTGGTTTGGAGATATATGGGATGTTGCCGACTGTGAGTTTATATGATCTCTCCTAATAAATTCCTGCTTAAAAGATTGGTTCCCCCAGTCGCGATTATCAGGCACAGCATATTGACTTTGGGATTGGCCATGTGAATAATAGCTCTTCACACGGCCATGATCGGCATCTTTGCCAAATAGCTCAGATTCAACTACTAGTTTGGCTTTCAGAACACTGTCCGGGATTTTAACAGCCTTCCGTAGTTCAAGCAGCTGGTCTCGCGTGTAACGTACGCATCCATGGGCCTCATGAAGAGATTCATCATTCTACATTTGTAGAAACGTACAGTTTTTATCAAACACAATTCACAATATTTTCACAAACACATACATTCCCTTGAGTAATTAGAAATAGGGATCTAAATAGAAAAATTCCACCTTTACATGAGTTTCTGAAATTACACACTTACTCCACAGGGCTTGGATTCTCTGTCCCTCCTCCATGTCCCACCACTCTCATCCTGCCACATAATCCGCCTCTAAACCCACCCACCTATATACATATGCCCCCCTATCCCACCACCCTTCAAAGAATCGAAGCCCTACTCCACAAACAAATGGCATAACCGATCCCAACTTTACTGGTAATATTAAACATGAGTAGCCAAACTATTGGTATAGTCGTATAGATATGACTAAATTGCACCATTGGTCCTTAAAGTTATTGTGTTAATAATGATTGGTGCTTCAACTTTGTAAATTCTAGAAACAGTACTTCACGTCAAGTTAGCATCGCACGGTTGATCCTTCCGTTAGTTTTTCAGTTGTCCATGCTTTTTTTTAATAAATAATGTGAGAGACTCTTTCTTCTTTGTACAATTGAACCATATTTAATATAGGTTCATTTTTTTAACAAAAATAAGTTAATCTTACTTTTATTAGTGATAGAAGGATCAATTGTGCAACGCTAACCTAGTTTTACGTACTATTCTTGAAATTTTAAAAGTGGAAAGACTAATCATGCACGACTCAATAATTTGAAGGACTTGTGTGCAATTTAGTCTATAGATATATAGATATAAAATCAAACTATTGACACCCAAATCGATTACAATAAGATTGAAGTTCATCCATGGAACTTGAATTGATATGATCAATTAAAATGCAACGGAGCTAGAGAGATGATTTTAGGAAACAATGACCAACCTTGGAGCGAGGAACAGCCGGGGAACCACCGCGACGGCGGAATCCGGTGGGATCAAAACTGGAAGCCGAAGAGGAAACGAAGCGAGAGCCGAACAAACTACTTCCGCCGCCGCCGCCGGGTCTCAAGCTCAGAACCGGCTGAGCAGTTTGCATGGCTGAATCCTTCGCCGTCCGAACAAATTGGCACAACAAGTCGAAAAAATTAAATGACGCGATTATCCAAAACCTAGACGATTATATATATTTACGTAATTAATCCTTTGTGTCCCAGGAGAAGTAAATGTATTGCATTGTATTGGAAGAGGCGGTTGTTGAGGACGACGAAGTGTAATCAACTTTTGTTTTCTAATTTTCCTCAAAAAAAATATATTGTTTCCTAATGATTAACGGTGGTTTTACCAGTGATAACAAACGGCGGTTTATTTACGGAGTACTACGAAACAAGTGAAACTAGTATTGTGATATTGGGGAAATTTGGGAAAATAACGAAGTATGATAAAAATGGGGAAAGTTCCCAATGTCATGGGATGACCCGGGGGCGCTCCGGTGCCCCGTTCGTAAAATTGACGGTTCCTACCCCCCTAATCCCCCCGGCAAACCCCTCACCCCGCCTCGCCCCAAACAAACCCCCCCACCCCCTCCAATTGCACCCCACAAG